TCCGTTCGCTGTTGCGGGGAGGCGGGCGGGGAGGCTCCTGTTCATACGCCCCCTCGCCAGGCGCCTGGCCCCGGAGCTGCCCGGGACATTATGGCGCGACGCAAGGGCAACACGAAGCACCGGCGACGGCGGCCGGATTTGGGCCAGATCGGTTTGCGCGTGTGACTAGAATTGCGCGCCTTGGTACTCGATAGCGGTCCCGCCGTAGCTCGCGCATAGAAGCAGCAAGCTAGGCGGAGGCCGCATCGCGTTCGCTGTATACGTTTTACCCAAAACCGGAACAAAAACACGAATCTCCAATCCAAAAAGGGATGAAATCCCTTATGGATATAATCGCCAAAATTATCTCAGGAACATAGTGTGAATGCCCGGGCACTTGGTTTTTTCTTCTCTTTTGGGAGCCTCTTTAAAAAAGAATACCCGTAGGGGAAGGCCGTTCGAGCCGCCCGAGTCGAGTCCTTGCCTTGTGTGCGTCGCGAACCCTGAGCAAAGGCCGTTCGAGCCGCCCGAGTCGAGTCCTTGCCTTGTGTGTGTCCGCGACGTCGATGAAAACAGGGACTCCACCCATGGTCCGAGCCCCTGACATGCCCAGCAGAACCGATTCAGGGAGCTCCGATGACGCGAAGCCAAGCACTGCGGCGGCCGACGCCGAGGCCCCAGCCGTGGTCGTGCAGCACAGCTTCGCATCAGTGCAGCCCGATTTGCCGCGCAAGCCCAACTACTGGATCAGCTGTTGCAAGGCGTGCGTGCTGCTGTGCCTCGCGCTGCTGTGCCAGCCCATTTGGTTCGGCACGGCGATTGTCCTCTCCTTCGCCTTGACTGGAGTCAGCATCGTTGCGGGGCTGCCCATCGTCTTCCTCATCCTCTACTTTTACTCCTTCATGCCGCACAACGACCTCTACACGCAGCTGCTGCTCCTCTCGTACAAGGTCCTCTTCTTTGCACGCTACAAGCCGACCGCAAGAGGGGACATGCTGCCGGGGCTACTGAGGCCCAAGGAGCAGCTGGAGAAGCGCGCCATCGCCTACGCCGTCAATATCCTCGTGCCTCTCAGCTCGGAGGAGGAGTTCAAGAAGGACCGCATCACCTTCACGTCCACGCTGGGCATCCTCTTCGAGGAGAATCTGCACCGGCTGCCGTACTACCAGCGCAACGCCGCGTTTGCTCCCGGCGAGGACCCGGTCGAGTACGTCATGTCCTACGTCGGCGACGTCTTCCCTCATGTCAACCAGATTTACAGAGAAAAGACGAGCGACGAGGCGTGCACCCAGCTGGCCTTCTTCGGACTCGGCGCGCACAGAATCGAGGTCGAGACCGAGACCCGCACAGACGAGCACGGCAACGAAGTCGAGGCCAAGATGTACGTCGTGCGCACCAACCAGCTGTCGCAGTTGCCCGTCCGCGAGGGCTTCGAGACGTACGGCGGGGACGCATATTTCGACGCCGAGTGGCGGATTGAGAAGATCGTAATCCAGACGCAGCTGTCCAGCGAGGGGCTGCCGGGTCCGCTCGTCACGGTCCGGCCCGGCGAGCGCGGCTGGGAGTACGCCAAGTTCTGTTGGAGGTCGTCCCTCTTCTCCCTCGTCACGCTTGTCGACCACCTCTACGGCGTGCACATGCAGGCGGGCAACGCGTGTGTGGTGGCCATGCGGCAGCAGCTCTCGAAGGACCACCCGATACGGCGCTTCCTGACTCCGTTCTCCTTCCAGACCATCTCGGTCAACGACAACGCCCGGAACAACCTCGTCAACCCTCGCTCGATGGGTCCGCGCTGCTTCGCCCTCACGGATATTGGGATGGACCTCGCCTGGTCCGCAGCGCCGACGCTGCTGCAGTCCGGCGTCGAGGCCGCCAAGGCGCAGACGGATCCCAAGCTGTACTGGCGGGCGCTCCTCGACCGCGGCTGGTACATTGAGAACTGGGTGAAGCCGCGGCTGGGCAAGCTGACGCCGTGGTGGGAGCAGGCGCTCGAGTTCTGGAACGTGCAAAAGGCGTTCGTCACAGCGTTCATGGAGTCGTACTGGTCGGGGCCCGAGGCTCTTCTACAGGACAAAGAGGCTTTCAAGTTCCTGGTGCAGTCTGTGAGCATCGTCCAGTCCACGAGCTCCGATGCAATCACCCACCTCGCCGAGCTGCCCGCCGAGCTGAGCGCCGAGATCTTTTGGGACGCCACGATCAACCTGATCGCACGCTACACAAACCTCGTCACCGCGGGTCACGAGCAGGTCGGAACTGTCCCGGTTTACGCGCAAGACGCGTCCTTCTGCGCCTTTGCGTGGAAAAAGGGCGAGATGATGGCGACGAAGCAGGCGGCGCTCAACGCAGCGGTGCTGATGGCCTTCACCTCGACGCCGATGCCCCCTCTGATGCGCAAGACCGAGGAGGACGACTGGTCCTTCCTCTTTCCTAGCGAATGGAAGTCGGCAGACGTGCCCAGCCCCAAGGCTCGTGCAGACGCGGCGTACAATCAGTTCCAGGCGGATCTTGCTCGGCTGGAGGTGAAGTACCAGGCCTTTAACGACGCTGCTCTTGCCGCCGACGCTACCTTCCCAAACAACTTTGGCATCTGGGCACACGTCCCCTCGCTGCTCGAGTGTAGCGTCAGCGTTTGAGAGACCTTTTCACCTCTTTTCACATTCTTTGCCGCCCAGTGTGTTAGAGTTTTAATGTCTATTAGAGACTACATACAGAGGGTGTAACACGTAATTTTCAAGTTGCATGTACCCCGGGCCCAGCGCTTTTGTCGTCCGGATGCACTCACTTGCTTTTTTCGGTCCAGCCCTCCCGGGTCTTCAGACTTCACATCTCAGCTGAAGCCGGGCGGCACGGCGTCCGGTGTCTTCATCAAATTCGTCCTGGTGGCGGACAAGCCGTTCATGCGGCACGTGTGCGGCTGCGCGAGCCACAACCACAACTCGTTTGGCGCTCCGTTCTGCAACTGCGAAGACAAGGACGCGACTCACGACGACGGCTGCGGCCTGTACAACCTTTCGCACGACCCAGCCACGCACTACAACGGCTCTATCACGCCCGAGGTGCTGGCGGCGAGGGCGCATCTGCCGCTGTGGTACGTGCTCGGCATGGAGGAGCCCGACCAGTGGCGAGTCCAGTGCGACAAGTGCGGCACGGTGCGCCATCTTTTGGAGAACAACGCTCGGCGTCATACACTCTACGCTCGTATACCGCTACCGCCCACGCCAGCACCGCGCCGAGGCACATGTCTAGCACACGACTGTCACGCACTCCCTTTTATTACCCCGCTCTGCGTGCGCGCTGCTCACAGGTGATCGACAGCAAGAACGGCGGCCTCGCAAAGATTAAGGAGGTGGAGAAGCACCTCGCCGAGCTCTCCCCGGCCGAACGCAAAAAGGTGCACGAGGAGCACGCCAAGAAGTGCGGCGGCCAGCATCTCCACCACGGTCCGCTGCTGCCCTACCACCACGCCGCGTACGACCCGATGCACGGCTTCCACTCCGAGATCAACGCGCTCTTTGATGAGTCCGTCAACCAGTACCTCGCCATCCGTCCGAACGACTCCAAGTCGATCAAGCAGCTGAAAGAGCAGACGCAGGCCGACTTGAACGCCCGCTGGAAGAAGGAGCATCTGCCAAAGTTCATCCAGTGGGGCGAGGACGGCAAGGGCAGCAAGTTCTCGCAGATGAACGGGCCGACGATCCGCCGCGTCTTTGCAGCGCCGAGGCTCGTCACGGATACCTTTGACCTGATGGCGAAGGTCTGGGACCTGCACGAGGCGGAGAAGGCGGGCGCGAGCGACTCCTCTGCCGCCGCGCCGGCCGACACCTCGGCGCCCGCGACTGCCGCTGCTGAGGCTGCCGCCGCCGCAGCGCCGACGCCCGCCGAGCCCGATGCGGACGCGGGGCAGCGCAGCCGCCGCCGCCGCAAACTGCCGGTGGCGGCTGCGGCGCCGCAGAGCAGCGCTCAGGGCGCAGGAACTGGCGCCAAGGAGGTGGGCGCCTCCGCAGCCAAGGCGGCCGGCGGCACGAAGAAGGGCAAGGGCGGCAAGGGCAAGGGCAAGCCGAAGCGGAAGGCAAAGGATCGGGTCGTTCGCATGACCGACGCCTGCTTGGACTCGAGCGAGGACGAGGCCGCGGAAACCGCGGAGGCGAGCACTGGCGACGGGCACGTCCCCTCTCCTGCTGGTACCCAACTGAGCACTTGAGTTTCTTTTTTTAGGCTCCGACTCCGGCTCCACGTCCGCCGAGCGGCCGCAGTGATGAGGCTACCTTCGCCTCCCCGCCCGTCCCCGCCCCCCCCGCCGCCATTCCGCCTGCCGAGCCCCCCGCTGCTGCCCCCGCCGCCGCCGCTGCCGGCCCCGCGCCCGCCGCCAGCGCCGCCCCCCCCCAGCAATCGATCCGCGAGCGCGTCGGGGCGGCCTTCCTCGCCATCATGTCCTTCCACGACTGCATTCGTTCAAACCACAAGCGGTCTGCCAAGGAGATCACTATGGACGAACGACTGGTGCTCGCGCGCAAGGCTACCCGCGCGGCGCTGCGCATGGAGAAGGCGATGCTCTCTCTCATCGGCACGCACCGGCGACGCACATACGCGCACGACATTGTGTACGGGACGCACATGCTCTATGTACTGTACGGCCGCCCGTGGAACGCCGCCACTGAGGGCAGCGAGCACGAGCACCAGAACATGAAGAAGTACTTCGCGAGGATGGTGAATCACCGCACAAAGGGCGCAGACGTGCTCGGCATCCTCCGGCTCTCGCACGCGTACCGCGCGCTGATGCAGACGGACGCGGTCCACTGCCTCCCGAGGACGGGGTACGCCGCAGGCCGCGCCAACATCACCTTTGCGGCGAAGGAGGGTGCGGTGGTCAAGCGAGCGATGGTGGACGTTGGGGGTAAGGAGAGCGGGGCGGAGGGACGGGAGCGGAAGCGGCAGATGAAGCGGGCGGGAGTGGAGGGTGTGATTATGGGTGAGAGCGTACCTGGTAATCCTTGATTAGTTCTCTTGGATCTGGTACTGGTTGTCCGGCAGCAGATGCCACCCCTTTGCCCGCAGCCCGTGGCGCGGCGGGAGGTTCTCCCGCACGTACTTGACGATCCGCTGCCGCACCTTCTCCTTCTTGATGTAGCTGCCCGGCGTCGCCGCCGGCATCCGCAGCGACCCGTCGTAGCCGTTGATGCCGGCCGTGTTAAACTCGATGGTGCACGTCGCGGTCTCCCCCTTGATCGTCGCCGTGACCAGCATCGGCGGCGCCTGGCGGCGCGGCGGATGGGGCTGAGCCTCAACTGCGCTCTCGCGGCCCGGGATCTGTGCGGCGAGGTGGGGCGGGGGGCGGGAGGGAGGGCCCGGCGGGAGCGTGACGGCAGGCCGCACCATCGTCATGATGTCCTTGTTGGACGCCCGCCCGATGCGCGCGAGCATGCAGCCGGCGGCCCTGTTTGGGTCGAGGAAGAAGGCAAACGAGGCAAAGTCGGCGATGTCGTTCATCTCCTTGTAGACGACCTGATACACCTCGCAGCCATCTCCCTTGACCTTGCCGACGGGGAGCGTCTTCTGCTGCCTCGAGACATCGGTCGCGAAGACAGCGGGCCGCCGCATCTGCTCGATGAACGCGAGCGCGAGCGGTGCCGCCATGAACTGCGGGAGGTCTATCTTGTGCGTGTGCGGCCGGTTCTTGGTCTTGGCGATGGTCACCGAGCGGGCGATGGAGGCGCGCGCCGCGTCCACCAGCGGCCCCATGTTGATCCCGTCCACCAACGTCTTCCGCGCGGCGGTGTGCTTCACCTCGTGCTCCGCAAGGGCGTCGTCTGTCACATACGTCTCGGGCTCCCAAGAGGGCTCCCACGCCTGCCCAGTCTCGGGGTCGGTGCCCGTCCACTCGACCAGCGCTTCGCATATGCCGCAAGCACGTTTCCGGGTGCGCAGGATGCGCCGCACCCCCCAGTAACCCGTCCCGAACTTGAACCTACGGTCGGCAAAAATTATATTCCCGAGACGGCCAAAGTGGGGTGTACCCCTGGACCGGTGAGGCGGGGAGATTTCTCCCTTTTTGGTATTTCGGCATCTACTGGGTCGATAATGGATTGCCCGTGGCCGGGGGAGCGCCGTTCACGACGAACGGGTGCATGATGTGCGGCGCAACGCTGCGGCGAGAGGGAGTGCGCTCGCGGGCCGCGGGGCCCTCTCAGCGAGCGGATACGCCGCTGGCGTCGGGCGCAGCTCACCGAGCCGGCTTGGGCGTCCGCGTCCCCTTGGTCCGGCCTCGAGCCATGCCAGATATCGCCGACGGGGGGGCGGAGACGCGACGGGCGAGGGGCTCTAAGGACGCAGGCCTCCCGCGTTTTTGGGTGACAATCTAACGCAACTTTGCCCCTGGCCTGTTTCCCATCGTGTCTCTCTCAGTGTACGTACTTTGAGCTTACTGGGAGAAGAGGGAGAGGGGGTAAAAGAAAGAAAACAGACAACCCAAGGGAGGGATGGGAGAGGGGGTTAGTTAGTTAGTTAGGAAGGTGAAGAACACTGAACAGCCAGGCTACCCCTAGTCTAGCGGGAATTTTTCACAATATCGCAACCGCGATACCGCGCGATATTTGGCGATAAAATGCGATAAACGGCGATGTTGTGCGATGCTCGCGATCACGCGAGCCCTTTCATAGCACGTCACAGCGACGGCGTGTGAAGCGTTACAAAGGGACGTGCGCCGTGGACCGCCAGCGTGGAGCACATCGTCCTGGCGCTTCGCTCGCTCCGCTCGCGTTGCGCAGCTGGATCTGGCTGCCTACACACCTCGCGGCTACCTTGCACATGAGCGTCAGCTTGTTCTGCAGCACGTTCGCCGCCTTCCAGAGGAGCTCGCCGACCCCCTTCCCGAACCCACCGAACGACTCGAACAGCAGCAGCCGCACGTCGACGTCCTTCGTTGTCCTCCCTGGCGTAGCGATACTCGCCGCCATAGGACGGTATGCGGCGGTCGCCGCCCACCACCCTCCCCCCCCTGTATGCCAGCGACCCGTCTCCCCTGCTCCCTCTCGCCCTTGCTCTTCCTCTCCCCCTCCATGCCCTCGTGTGAAGAAAGAAACCGATGACGTCGCGTATGATCAAGACACCGCACCTGGGCGTTTCCGCGAAAATTGAGAAACCACGGCGCGCCTGCGCCGCAGGCGCGCCGGCTGCGCCGCCACAGCTTTAGATGGTCTCCACCGAAAACAAAGAAATCCGCGGCCGCGTCCGCCGCCGCCCGGGGCGAGGGTGGGCGAGGGTGCGCGAGGGTGCGCGCGTGCGTGCGCGAGGGTGCGCGATATTGCGCGACATATTGCGCAATATTGCGCGATATTGCGCGATATTGCGCGATATTGCGCGATATTCGGCGATATTAGGCGATCAATCACGATACACCGAAAATTCCCGCTAGACTAGGGGTCAGGCTCCGGACTGGGACACCGGACACCAACGCGGTACGGCTTTATCCGAGTCATGGGTGGACGCTAGACAGACGATGACGACACGCATGAGCGACACACAGACACAAACAGGCTTACAAGACACACAGCCAGCTGGCTGCCACACACCCTGAGTGTTGGCGTACACATAACTCAGGGCCGCCACGTCCTCCCTGCCGGCTGTCGCCCCCCCCAGCACACACGCGACACGGTGGTCGGTGCCAAGAGTACAAACAAGGGCACAACAACACAACAGACGACAGGAAGTAACATGCGAGGCTAGAGCAGGCTGCTCCGCCTCTATCTAGCAATCTCGCCGCCAGCCGCAAGGCATGGACGAGACCGTGTGTGATCTGTGATCTGTGAGGGTCCGACGCAGGCGCATTTTGTATGTATGTACAAAGAGAGAGGATTTAGGTTTGGGGCAGAGCGAGTGGAGCACTTGGAGCACTTGGAGCACTTGGAGTGCAGTCAGTAACCTCACATCCAGGGCCGGGGAGCTGAGAAGCGCACCCAGCGGGCCGGATGGTGGGCGAACTTTTCCGCGGTCGTGCTTTTGCGGTCGTGGAGGTCGTGGAAGTCGTGGAGTGGCGAGTCACGCTCGGGCGGACAGCACTGATGCCGTCGCCGGACGCGGCGGCGAGGCACACGGGCGCCGGTGTGGCGCGTCGGCAGGCCCACCACGAGCGGATGCGCGACGAGCGCGCTCGGGAAGCGGCCGCGGGCGACGCGGAGCTTCCGCCGGAGGACGACGCGGTCGAGATGGCGAGCGCCGCCCACGTGCTGGACAGCGTGGCGGAGGTGGGCCCGAACTACACGCTGCTGCGCAGCAAGGAGACGAAGGCGAAGCGGCGGAAGCGACAGCGCGAGGATGCCAGGGCGGCGCTCGACGGCCACACTGTCCTGTCCACCGGATCGCGCCTCGAGATATTCTGCGACAGCGAGCGGTGGTACCCTGCGACCGTCATGGCGCGGGAGGAGGACGGGGACGGGACGGATCGTGCACGAGATCGAGTACGACGGCTTCTCGGATCGGCGGTGGTGGCACATGCTGGACGACGAGCGGTGGCGCGCCGTCCCAGAGCAGGCCGGCGCGGGCGCAGGCGGCGCTGCTGCAGACGGGGATGGGGATGCGGCGATGGACCGCGCGGACGGCGAGCATGGCGCCCGTGCCGCGGGCGCCGCCGAGGCGGCCGAGGTGCGGCCGGCGCCGCCTCCTGTGCGCCGCGGTGTGCGGCGCAGCGCGCTGGCAAACGCCCTCGAGGCGGAGAGGATGACGAGCAGCAGGACGAGGCTGCGCGTGGCGATGAGCGGCCGATGCTAGCGCCCCACGGGCCGGCGCTGTCGGCGCACCTTCGGGTCGTGCGCCTGCGGCTGCGCGAGTTCCTGGCGACGCAGGCCGCGGCGGGGAAGAGCGTGCCGATGCAGCGGACGGCTCTCGGTCTGCACCCGACGATGCGGTGGACGATCCGCTTCGGCAAGTGGCTGGCGACGACGCGAATCACCGCGCCGAGGGCGAGCCGGTGGCACGCGACCGAGCGGGGCGACGCGCGGGACGAGGAGCCGACGGTGCGCACGGGTCGCGGCGAGAACGCGATCTACGTCGCGCTGCAGCACATGAAGAACCACGTGTGGCGCGTAGGAGGTGGGGGATGATGGTGGTAGTGTGAGGTGGTGTGGGTTGTGTGATAGAATGGAGGTGAGTTGAAATGGATGGGAGAGGTGGTGTGGGATGTGGGATGGGTGAGTTGTCGTGCGGCAGCAACGGTCGGCAGGCCCTCCGCCGTACCGAGGCGGTGCCCGGTGCCGAACCTGTCGGACCTTGAGACAGCGTTGTAGATCCCTGGGCGAGGGTGGTGGAGAGGGCGGTCCGTCGGCGCCAAACCACCTCCCACCGAGGTGGGTAGGTTCCACGCGTTCCCGGACCGCCCCGTTGGAGGTAGGCCGCTCGTCTAGCCAATCAGCCTTAAGCGAGCGGTCTGGCCGTTGGAATGGCCTAAGACCGGTCCCCGTCGGGAGGGGAGGATGACTGTCTCTGACGGCGAACCTCAGTTACGAGCCGCCCTCCCCTCGAGACGCGAGGCCAGCGCACTCGGGGCCCGAGCCCCAGCGTGCACCGTCCCACACGCCTCACGCGGCCTCTGGCTGGAGCGGGAAGGGATCGCAAGCGAGTCCCCCGGGCCGGTGTGCGTCTTCCGAGAGAGGAGCGGGAGCGAGGGACCTTCTTAGTTGTCCGGCATGCAGACGCATGCACGGCCGTTCAGAAATTTTCCCAGCCGTTGGAATGGCTGCGCTCCCGCCCCTCACGCCGGGTGGACAAGTGGGGGGGAGGTCAATGACCTGCCTAGTAAGCCGACATGCCAGGCATGCCGACCTTTCGGAGCCCCCCCTCGTACACGTGTGCCGCTGGGATAAAGCCAGTACGCCCGAGGGCGACGGTCCCCCGGTAGTAGACGTTGGCGCCGAAGAGGGAGGAGTCGCCGAAGGACGGGTAGTCGTCGGTCATGCGGGGGGAGGAGGAGTCGGCGAGTGGCGGGGACGAGAACAGAAATGCCTGAGAGGGTGGGGAGGGAGGCGTGAGGCGCATAGGGTAGGGCGGTGGTGAGTGGTGAGCGGCGTCGGCGAGATCGGCGATGAAGAGAGGCGATGGTGACGTACACGGCGGCAGTGTTCACGGCAGCAGCGCCGGTGGCGGCCCCGCGCAGCGGCGGCGGCGCCCTGAGTGAGGCAGACTGCCCTGCACAGCCTGCTGGGAACGCTCCCGACGAGCGGCGCGCCATGCGGGCCCGCCGCGGGCGACGCGGGCGGCGAGCCGACACGCGTGTCGCAGGCGTAGACAGCACTGGCGAAGCGAGGCGGCCGGCCCGGCCCCGGAGGCGGCTGCAGTAAGAGCTGCGAGGCAGAAGTCACTGTCCATGGCGTAGCTACTGAGCGGGCTGCCATCGAGCAGCGCGCCATGCGGGCCTGCCGCCGGCGACGAGATTGGAGAGCCGACAGGCATCAATGAGGTAGGTACTGAGGAGGGCCATCGCGCCCAAGGCGGTCCGCGCCGGCCCTGCAGGCCGTCACAGAGAGCCTGGCGAGGCTGTACAGAATGCCGAGAGCATACTGAGCAGGCTGCCGTCGAGCGACGAGCTATGCTGGCTCGTCGCAGGCGATGAGGTCGAGGAGCCGATCGGAGCGTCGCAGAGGCTGCCGACCACTGTAGTTCGCCCTCGGGCCCAGGGGTGGAAGGCAAGCTTCCTGGCGTTTCTGGCGAGCGTCCAGACGTCGCAGAGCATCCGGCAGGCGCGCAGCGACCCAAATTTTTGCTCACCGCACGGCCGTGCGAGCCGTCGGTCGGCGGTGATGGTCGGCGTCGGCGCGCGCCGACTAACGCGGCTTCTGTGGGCGTCATGTGGCGGGCGTGTCGGACTAGACATTGTCCGAATTTCGGCGGTGTCAAGTCGGTCTGCTCGTGTGTGTGTGGGGTCATGTGAGGTGTCTATCGTATGGACGCTCTCCTCACGTAAACGCACAACCCCGGGCCCGAAATCGCACAGAGTCACGCAACACGGGGTCTTAGGGAAGGCGAGCAAAAACCTTATCGCGCGCGCTATAGACGCCGACTCGGAGGCCGCACCGGTCAGGCGCGCAGCCGGAGAGAGAGGGAGGCGCTCAATCGCCGCACGCGGCGAGCGCCTCCATGCCGCAGCAGCTATGGCAGCAACCGCAACAGAGGCAGCAGCAGCGGCAGAAGCAGCACCAGCAGCAGCAGCAGCCGCCGTCGCCGTCGCGCGGTCGCTCAGCATCTTGAACGAATGCCCAAGACGAGCAGCAAGGCGAGGAATATCTCCTCGCTGCCGATCGTCGGCCCGATAAACTGCAGCATGAACATCTCCAATAACACGAGCGTAGCGGGAAGAAAGTGGTCGCGCACACCTCGCTGTCGATGTCCCGGCGTTCTTCGGTTCGTTCTGATCTGATCCATCCGCGTCTTCCGCCGCGAGCTCGGCGAGCTCTTCGAGCTCGTCTGCCCACTGCTCCAGCGCCGCACTCTCCGCCCAAGCCTCAGCATGGCTTTTTTTTGCCGTAGCAGCCGCCACTGAAGCCGCTGCGTCTGCGGCACTGGCGAGAGCCCGCTGCGCTCTGCTCACAGGCTAGCTGCCTACCGCTAGCCCTATCTCGCACTCACGGGTGATGACAATTCATTGGGTGAGTGTTTGCGAGCAGAAGCGCGTGTGCACCGCCGAGCCTGCGGCGGGCGCGCTGCGGCCGCACGTCTAGAACTCCGCCATAGTGCCACGTCGTGCGGCCTAGAATTAGCGGGGAGAGCCATGCCCGACTTTTCGAAGGCCAAATGCTCGTTTTCTCTTTTGGTGTACCTGTGTTAGTGCCAGTGCGCGCCAGTCCCGTGCCCAGTGTTGTGCGAGGGAAAAAAATTCTCTTTTCCAACACCACCGAGCTCGACCCGGTGCTTCGGAGCTCTCGGCACTGAACCACAGCAAATGTCTAGCCACGCTCTCGCTCGCAGCTATATCCTCGCGTCGGCCCTGCTGTGCCCGACGATAGCTCTGGCGGTGACGCCTGTCGCCTCGTCAGCGTCGCGCCGCGGCGCTGTTAAGCCGACGTTGGCTCCGGTTCGGCCTCACGCTCAGAGGACTGGCCGGCCGCTGCTCAGCGCCGACGCCGCACTCGCTGGCGAGGGCCCGCCCAGCCAAGGCGCGGCGGTGGTGCCAAGCATTATCAACCTGGCAAAGAACATAGTGGGCTCAGGTGTCCTCGCTCTGGCTGCTGGCGTCGCCGCCATATCGGTGTACCACAGCCTTCCCGAGATCTCGGCCGCAATCTCGCGGGCGCTTCTCTACCCAGTGCTCACGCGTGTCACGTCGACCCGCAGGGCAACCGGCGCGCCCTCGGCCCGGCCCTCGTCGTCCTCTTTGGGCTCGGCGGCGTCTCCGCTTACACCTTTTCGCTCATCGCACGGGTGGGCGACGACGTTGGTGCAGAGACGTACTTTGACACGTGGGGCAAGGTGGTGTCGGAGCGCTCTTCGGTGCTCGTCTCCGCCGCGATCACCTTCATGACCTGCGCGGCCGCCCTCTCGTACGCGATCATCATCGGCGACTCGTTCTCCTCCATCGCCACGCTCGCCGGAGCACCGGCCCTGCTGCAGCGCCCAAACCCGTGGATCCTGATCGCCTCGGTCGTACTGCTGCTCCCTCTCTCACTGATGCGCGACCTGTCGGCGCTGGCGGTCGGCTCGGTCCTCGGCAACCTCGGCACCCTCTTCACCGCCGGCTTCACCCTCCTCCGCCTCGCCGACGGCTCCTACGCACCCGGCGGCCGCTTCCACACCGCCATCGCAGCGGCGTCCCGCCCCGCGCTCAAGGCGCCTGCTATGGCGAGGCGTCTTGCCAGCAGCGCTACTCTTACTCCTCCTCACGACCGCCCCTTCTAAGGCGAGCGAGCCCGCCCTCGGCCCGGGCGTCTTCGTGCTCGTCTCGATGCTCGCCACCGCCTACGTCGCGCACTACAACGCGCCGACCTTTTACAAGGAGCTCGCCCCGCCAGAGGGAGGAGGAGCGCCGGCACACCCCGCAACCCGCAACCTCTCCACCCTCGCCCGCAACCCTCCCACGCCCTCGCCCTCACCCTCGCCCTCATCCTCCCGTCACCCTCCCATCACGCTCCCTCGCCCTCGCCCTTCCACCACTGTCCACGCGGCCCTGCTGCAACCGCATGCCGAGCCGTGCCCCCCTCTCCCTCCCCGCCGCAGGCTCGAAGCTGCCGCGCTTCAACAAGGTCGTGGCGGGCGGCTTCGCGCTCGCCGCCCTCCTCTCCGCCGCAATCATGTCTGGCGGGTTCCTCACCTTTGGCGCCGCCACGCAAGGGCTCCTCCTCAACAACTACGCTTCCTAGACACTTCCTAGACACCTCCTAGACACTTCCCTGTGAACAGGCTCATCCTCAACAACTACGCGACGACGGACGCGCTCGCTCTGATCGCGAGGGTCGGCATCGGCGCGTCCATCGTCTTCTCGTACCCGCTCAACTTCAACGCGATGCGCGGCGGCTTCCTCAAGCTCCTCCGCCTCGACATGTACGCGCACAGAACCGACCTCCATGTCGCTGCCACCGTCGCGCTGATGACGGCCTTCAACGGCCTCGCACTCTTCCTCAAGGCACTTCCTAGACACTCCATAGGCACTCCATAGGCACTCCATAGGCACTCCATAGGCACTCCATCGACCCTTCCCAGACCCTTCTCAGACCCTTCCCAGACCCTTCTCAGACCCTTCCCAGACCCTTCCCAGACCCTTCCTAGACCCTTCCTCGCGCTAGGCGAGGCCGGCCCCGAGTCCCTCCTCCCGCCCCCTAGCCGCCTGCTCCGCCCAGTGCACCGCCCGCCCAGTCCCACCGCCCGCCCCGCCCGCAGGACCTCGGCCTCGTCGTCGCCGTCGGCGGAGCCATCCTCGGCTCCGCCATCGTCTACATCTTCCCCGCGATCATGTTCATCGCAAACATGCGCCGCAAGGCGGCCGCCGGCCCGCTCTCGGCTGGGGAGCGGCGTGAGGTCCTCCTCAACAAGGGGCTGGTCGCCCTTGGCGCCGCCCTCGGCTGCCTCGGCGCCTTCATGTCGCTGCAATGAGTCAGTGTGCAACGTGCAGCGACACACACGACTCGACACACAAAGAGTTACCTCTGTCCTCTCTCGCGACTCCGCGCACCCACGCACGTGCGGGCGCGCACATATTCATATTATTGAGTTATATGCATGTATGCAGAGAGGAGGTCCCAGGTGTCCCGGCGTCTCCCGCGACGGGGGCTACATGCTAACATGGTAAAGGGTGCCTACTGTGTGAATACGTTTTCCACGTATTCCAAACGACCTCCCAGAGGCCTGTATTCTGCCGTATTCCACCCGTATTCCACGTATTCCATGGAATACGCCGTATTCCAAGCTCCAAAAATGGACGTATTCCGTATAAAATTTTCTTCGCTCCGCGAATTCACAGCCTTGTTATTGAGAAGAAAATACCTCCTATGGCGCTGTTTCACACACAGGAAGGGTGTGGAGATGCTGGGTTGACGGAAATCGGAGGACGCGAGCCACCTCGCCACAGATGGTCCCGCGCCTCGCCGCTCCATAGACGGGGACACACCCCGCACCGTCCGCTGTGTCCCCGTCTTTGTCCGGAGTGAAAAGTCCAACGCGCTCGTCGGTGACGGCTTCCTCCAACCTGCACTGCGCTCGGCGAACCTCGACAGCGCCTTCGGTGGCATGCAGCTCTTTGCGCCTGAAGCCTGGAGTGAAGCTCCTCTACTGCTCACACGCTCTGCACAGTTGGCACAGCCCACTGTGCGGCTGCCACAGCTTTGACAGCGATGGGCTCGCCCTCACTGGCCCTCAGTCACTTGTGCTGCGGCTTGTGTGAGCGACACTGCTCGGCGACTGCCGGCACACTGTGAGACCGTGGGTGTGAGGTTAAACCACGCTACCAGCGCTTGGTCACATCGGCCCCGAGGTCAGATTCTTCTACTCTGTTGATGACAAGACTTGTCTACTCGCTGGAGCCGAGCAGGAGGGCCCAGCGCACAGCCCCTTGTTCAACTCTCTCACCCTCCACACCCCGTACACATATTATGCACGACATGCACACACATCGTGTGACTGTGAGCATGTGTGCACATGCACATGCCACGTGCACATGCCACATGCACATGCCACATGCACATGCACATGCACATTCACATTGCACATGCGGGAGACCGGGGCCGCGACGGCGCGCCGACGGGCGACGGTCTGTGTGGACTGTGGAGACTGTTCGTCGTGTCGTCTACTTGTTCGTCTTTCTCTTTTTTCGGACGATCGTTGATCTACAGTGTACAGCGTGTCATGAGGCGTGCCATGCATGCCACTTATTTACACGTGATACAACGGACGGGAGCCCTGGCAACCCCGCGCGCGGCCCCGGCTGTCCGGCGCAAGCGCAGCTTAGTACTCGGCCCGGTCTCGCGGACGGTACCCCATCGATGGTACCCCACGGCCAGAGAGGAGGCAGATGGTCACGTAGAGCAGCAGCCCCGGCGGTCCGATGCCGTTGGTGAGGAGGAGCGCGGCCCACGTGAAGCCAACGTCCCGCTCCAGGCTGTCCAGCCAGATGGCGCGGCCGACGAAGAGGTCCCAGATGAGAACGTGCGGCCACTCCTCGGCCACGAAGTCACGCACCTCGAAGAGGCGCACCATCCCGTCCAGCTGATTCTGCGCCGGGTCGAAGACGTCCGCGAATATCTTGACCGGCTCCGTGCCTCCAGGCGCCGACGCTGCCAGCAGGACGATGGCGAGGTGCGCGAGCGAGAGCGCAATCACCGGCGCGATGGGACCCATGACCCGCGCGGTGAGCGACGACCGCGGCGCCGCCACCATCAAGACCCACAGAAACTGCGGCGCAAAGGTATCCAGCGAGACGAGTGCATCGATCACCGGAGCACCGGCTGCTGTGAGCGCCACCGGCCTCGCACGGTGGGCGTTCAGAGAGTCGTCGTTCTCCGAGCGTAGCGGCGAGTGTAGCGGCGTCACTCGGAGCGCAGTCTGGACCGGTGCGAACGCCGACGCGGTCGCGGCGATCGGTTTCGCCTCAGATTTTGCCCCAGACCAGCTCTCAGACTCAAGAAGAAGAAATCTTGTTGGTCTTCAAAAATCTCTCTCTCAGACGCAGGGAAACTCGAGACACGAGAGTTGCCAGATGGAGCACCAAACACCCTCTAGTTTCCCTGGAAATTTCCGGAAACGCAAAGTGCTGGGGACCCTCTCGTTTCCTTTTTGGTTTCCGGAAACATGGATACAGGCCAAACAGCACCTTGAACGAATATCGAGTATAGCGAGTTCACCGCTTTGTTTGGTACGCTCAAAAAATAAAAAAAATCTAGGGATTTGACCGCAACACTCGTCGGCGACATGATGGGGGACCAGACTCGGAAGCGCAGGGTTCCGGCTCCGAGCCGGATAGGGAGCCTGATAGGTGCCTGAAGAAAAGTGTTTTTGTCTGAACAAAAGCGGTTGCTGCCATAGCTGCTGTGCGGCCGCACCACCCGGCGAGGCCATCCTCGCGCGCACGGACGCTACAGGCGCGGGCGCGGGCGGGGGTGGAGGGTGCGTATGAGGCGGAGATGATGGATGGAGGCGCTCGCCGCGTGCGGCGATTGAGCGCCTCCCTCTCTCTCCGGCTGCGCGCCTGACCGGTGCGGCCTCCGAGTCGGCGTCTAGCGCGCGCGATAAGGTTTTTGCTCGCCTTCCCTGGGACCCCGTGTTGCGTGACTCTGTGCGATTTCGGGCCCGGGGTTGTGCGTTTACGTGAACAAAAGCGGGAAAAGAAAACAAAACTCCCTCGCACAACACGGGCACGGGACTGCGAGCACTACACTACACAAAGCGGGAAAAGAAGGAAATCCCGCGGCCCGGGCAGCAGGTCAGAGCGACTCCACCGCCACCGTCATGCCGAAGCGCGGCGGCTCTGACGCCGGCAGAGGTGGGAGTCGGCGACAGAAGACGAAGAAGGCGGAGCCAGCTCCAGCGTATGTCGTTGGGCGCGCGTGCCGCGTGCGGCTGCTCGGCGCCGAGGAGTGGCTTTCTGCGTCGGTAATCGCCATCTCCGGCGCGGACCGGCGGTCTCTCGACCTGCAGCTCGCCGACGACGAGGACGGGGTGGGCCACAGCTGCCGCATCCACCTGGACCAGCAGCCGGTGCACGTCGCCGACGAGATTGTTTGGGCAAAGGAGCCGCCGGGGGAGGGGAAGGCGGCGGCGACAGCTGGCCAGTGGACGCCGGCGCTGCTGTACAAGCCACTGGGGCCGCCCGAAGTGGAGTCGTGCGGGCCAAAGCGTGCGCGCGAGGACGCGGCCGCGGGCGGCGCCGCCTTCTCTGGCCGCGTGACGGAGGGCGAGTTCCTCGAGATTGAGGTTGCCGAGCCGAGCGACCCGTCGCGCGTGTCCTGGAAGCCGGGCGAGGTGCGGCAGGTGCTGTCTGGAGGGCGCTTCACGTGCTGCGTGAACGGGGACGAGGACTTCATTGAGGAGTACGGGCCGGAGGACGAGGGGGCGGAGTGGCGCAAGGTGCGCGCTCGCATGCTGTGCCCCGACGCCTCGCCGCGCTGGCTCCCGCCCCGCCCTGCATACGCGCGCGCGACCGCCGTGAGCCGCTCGCGCCGCATCCGTCAGGTTGCCGACCAAGAGGCGGCGCGCAAGGCCTTCGAGGAGGCGACGGAGGCCGCCCTCAAGGCTGGCGTCCAGCTGCAGCTCACCGAGTACCTCGGCTCGGGCCGGCGCGGCTTTGCGTCGCGGAGCGACTGCCTCCCCTTCGTGCGGCAGATGTGGAAGCGGAAGACGGACAAGGCGCAGCTGAGGGCCGTCGCCGAGGCGCTCCGCCTGCGGAGGGCCCTCTCCGCGCCCTACGTGCGCGGGCTCAAGAAGCAGCTCGCCGGCGCGCGCGTGGCGATCTACTGGCCGGACGATGACGAGTGGTACTGCGGCCGCGTGCAGCAGTACGAGGCCAGGGAGGGCAAGCACGCGGTGCTGTACGACGACGGGGTGCTCGAGTCGCTCGACCTGGCCGAGGAGAGCCTGCACATCTTCTCGAGCGAGCAGGAGGAGAAAGAGTTCGGCGCCCACTCCAAGTCCGGGCTCTGCTTTCTGTGCGGCCACCACGGCACCCTCGCGCGGCTCAAGGAGACGGTCTGCGAGCCGGTCCGCCAGGGGGAGGAGGCGGCCTCGCCCCCGCCTGCGCCCGCGCCCGCGCCGCCCGCGCCGCCCGCGCCGCCCGCGCCGCCCGCGCCGCCCGCGCCGCCCGCGCCGCCCGCGCCGCCCGCGCCGCCCGCGCCGCCCGCGCCGCCCGCGCCACCGAGCGCAGGGGCCCCTGGCGAGGGGCGGGGCGGCGAGGGCGGAGGCGTGGCGGCGGACGACGTGGAGATGCGAGACGGCGGCAACGGGGCGGCGGAGGGCGGAGGCCGGGCGGCGGCGGCGGCGTCCGGCGGCGACGGGCCCGCCGAGGCTCAGCCGGCTTCGCAGCCGATGGAGGTGGATGGGGCTGCGCCGGCTGCAGCTGCGGAGACGCCCGAGAAGGGGACGGCGGACCGGCCTGGCTCGGCGGGCGGGGAGGCGGGCGGGGAGGCGGGCGGGGAGGCGCCTCAGGCCGAGGAGGGCCTGGCGTACACGGGCGACATGCTCGAGTGCGCGGGCTGCCGCGACCGCTTCCACCTGCGCTGCCTCGACACCAACCTGGAGAGCAAGCCCGAGCTGTGGGACAAGTGGAGGTGCCTCGAGTGCAAGCAGTGCGAGGTTTGCAAGAAGGACGGCAGCAAGATCCGGCTGGCCATCTGCGAGGACTGCGACGAGGGCTACCACATCGAGTGCCTCGACCCGCCGCTCAAGTCCTTCCCCCACCGCAACTTCAAGTGCCCCAAGTGCGTCAAGTGCTCGTCGTGCGGCACGCGCACGGCCAAGGCGTGGCGCTCCGACTACACCATGTGCAAGCCGTGCGGCACCCTCTTCCGCGACCGCCGCTTCTGCGCCATCTGCCTCTCGGTGTACAAGCAGCACGAGACCGACATGGTGCAGTGCGACAAGTGCCGCTTCTGGATCCACGCGCGGTGCGACGGGTTGGGCGAGGACGACTTGCGCAAGCTGCACGAGTCGGAGGACCCATACGAGTGCCCGAACTGCCGCGGCGAGCGCACCTACACGCTGATGGCGCAGGCGCTCGACCAGCTGCAAAAGGAGGACCGCGAGCGCTTCTTCGCCGAGCCGGTGACGGTCGAGTACGCGCTCGCGACGCAGTACCACACCGTCGTGGACAAGCCGATGGACTTCCGCACCATCCGGGGCAAGGTCACCTCCCTCCAGTACGGCACCACCCAGCTCGAGGCCGTGCGCGCCTTCCGCGACGACTTTCGGCTCATCTGCTCCAACGCAAAGGCCTTCCACCGCCCAAACGAGAAGATCCACATCGTCGCGCGCCGGCTACTCAAGCTGAGTGAGAAGGTCATCGACGTCACCTTCCCGTGGCTCAAGGCGGACCTCGCCGGCGCCGGCGACGGCGACGGCGGCCCGGCGGCAAAGGCGGACGCGTCCAAGCCGGATAAGGAGGAGGTCGCCGTGGGGAGCGACGAGGCGCCGCCGCTGCTCGAGAGCCCGTGGCACCACGTCGCGGCGATCACCTTTGAGGGCGGCGGCGACGACGCCTCCGCCTCCTCGGCCTGCTTCGTCTGCGGCGGCCTCTGCGACCCGGACTCGCCGTGGCTGTGCGACTCGGCGCTGCTGCGCTGCACGTGGTGCGCCGAGACGTACCACTCGTACTGCACGCCCGCGCCGTGCCCCGAGCCGAACGAGGAGACGATGCTCCACTGGTCGTGCCCGCGCTGCCGCTTGCTCACCATCGCGCCCGCCAAGCCGGGCGACGACCCGAGCGAGGCACCGCGCAGCCTGCCCGCCGGCATGACCCGCTGCGCGCGCTGCGACAAGGTGCTGCCGCGCAAGGGCGCGAGCAGCAGCGGGGCCGAGCCGGGCGGCGCGGACGGGCTCGTGATTTGCTCCGACTGCCGCTGCTGCGAGGGTTGCGGCGCGCGCACCGGCCGGGGCTGGAGCGAGGATGGCGTGTGGTGCGCCGCGTGCGCGCCCGGGGGGCTCGAGGGCCGCTTCTGCGGCATCTGCTCGCGCGTGTTTGACAACGAGAGCGAGGAGGCGGCGATGATGATCCAGTGCGACACCTGCCTCATCTGGGTGCACCCGCTCTGCGACGGTCTCGACGAGGAGACCTACTGGAAGTACGCCGAGGGGCGACCCGGCTTCGAGAAGTACGAGTGCCCCGACTGCAGCGCCGAGCCGTCCGCCTCGGGGGCGGTGCTGTGGCGCCAGATCGAGCGGCTCGTCTCGCGCATCCAGCACAAGCGCATCCAGTACTCGGCCGAGCTGCTGCCGCGGCTCGGGCCGGAGCGGTCGTCGCTGACGGACCCGCGGCGCCGCTCCGCGCTTCAGCGGTGGATCGGCGAGCGGGCCGAGGCCGGGGCGGCGTGGGCCGTCGCGACGCTGCATGAGGCGGGCAACCCGTTTGGTCGCGTGCCCCCCGGGCCGAGGCCGCCGTCGAGCAACAGCAACACCGACTACGTCGTCACGGGCACGCCGGCGGACGATTGCGGCGAGTGCGTCTACTGCAGGGACAAGATCAAGTTCGGAGGGCCCAACGTGACCAAAAAGCCGTGCCTGCGGCGGCGCGTGCTCAAGAGCAGCATGGGCAGCTCGCAGACCCACAGCCTCGCGCTCGCGGCGGCGGAGGCCGACCCGCAGCCAGGCTCCCTCCCCGCAGACGGGTCGCAGCCGCAGGTCGTTGAGCGCCTCCCGCGCCACGCCGCAGCGCGCTATCGAGGTAGCTCAGCTGCATTTCTTCTGGCGATAGGCTGTCGACGAGGAGGCCGCTGGCGTCGCTATCAAGCGCGAGGCGCCTGGCGGCCTCGCCAACGGGCAGGCGCCGGGCGACGATGCGTCGGGCGGCACGCAGGCCAATGGCGTCGAGCAGCCCGCCGAGCCGAAGATTTTGTCGATGATCGTCAACAACGGCGTCAGGGCTGAGGCGTGGGACGGGTACGACTCGTACGAGGAGTACGGCGACGGCGAGGAGAGCGGCGGGGCGCGGCGGCCGATCGCGCGTCCCGCGGCGGGACGGCTCTCGTCCCTCCCAGCGCTTTGCATGCCTTGTGCCGGGTCTGCCCGCAGCAGTGGAGAGACGCAAGCCGGGAGCGCCGGGGCGTCCGCAGCAGCCGCCGCTAACGGGGCCCCTAGGGCGCCGTCGGGCGGCAAAGCAGCCTCCGGCCCTTCGCCCGCCAGCTTGCCCAATGGCGGGGACGTGAAGATGGAGGAGGCTGGCAGCACGGCGCCCGAGCCAGAGGCGGCGGCGCGTGTGCAGGCAGCGGAGCCGGCCGACGCCGAGCAGGTGCTGCCTTTGGCAGGGCAGAGGCCCGGCGCAGAGCCGAGGCCGCGGCCGGCCGGCGAAGCCGCTCCGTCTGCGGCAGCCGGGGGGCGGCAGCGGGCCGAGGCCGCGGCGGGCAGCGGACAGGGCGAGCGGGCTCCGCTCGACCCAGAGCCGTCGATTTCGGCGCTCGCCGGGTCGGGGAGCGGTTCGCAGCTTTTGGATGCAGCAGCCGCCAAAGCCGCCGCCGGGGGCGCCGCGATTGTGCCGGCCACTCCCGAGGCCGCTGCCCTCTCCGCGGCAGACGCGGACGATGTGCCCGTCGGGGCGCCCGTCTGCGTCTTTTGTGCGCGCGGCGCCCACCCCGTCTGCGGCCGGCTGATCCCCGTGTCGCCCGGCTGCTGGGCGCACGTCAACTGCGCGATGTGGAGCTCGGAGGTGTTTGAGAAGGAGGCGGGCGTGCTGTACAACATGCCCTCGGCGGTGCGCAGGTCGGTCAAGAAGCGCTGCGCCCACTGCCACCTCCCGGGCGCCTCGGTCGGCTGCTTCCACAAGAAGTGCCTCGCGGCGTACCACTTTGCGTGCGCGCGTTCTTTGGGGTGCGCCTACACGCCGGACGACGGCCGCTCGACGTGGTGCCCGCTGCACGCACCGCCTAAGGCGATCACGCCGCTGCCGGTGCGGGTCTCGCGCTCCGTCGCCGTCAACCGCTCGCTGCGGCTGCACCGGGCCGACGAGGGCGAGGCGCAGCAGGCGGCGGCCGCCGAGTCGGTGCTGTTGCAGGTGGGGCAGCTCAAGGTCCTCCGGCTCGGCAGGCCGCAGCCGGCGCGGCCGCAGTTCCACGAGCGGCACCAGATCTTCCCGCTCGGCTACACCGCCCGGCGCCGCTTCCACGACCTCGCCAGACTGCCGCCGGCCACGTGCGAGTACAGCTGCAAGGTCGGAGAGCACGCCGGGCTGCCCTCCTTCGTCATCGCCCACCCGACCGAGCCGGGCCTCTGCTTCAAGAGCTCGACCGCGACGGGCGCGTGGCACGCGCTCGTCAACCGGCGCGCGCGGGTGCACGGGGTGCGGCCGCTCAACCTCACGCCGGCTCAGATGCAGCTGGAGGGCGCGCTCTTCTTTGGGCTCGCCGTGCCGGCGGTGGCGCAGCTCATCGAGCAGCTGCCGGGGGCAAAGTCGTGCGAGGGCTTCCACCCTCGCTACTCGCGGCCCGAGGCGATGCAGAAGGTGCCGCCGCTGCCAAAGTCGACCAACGGTTGCGCGCGCGCCGACCCGTACGTCAAGCGCTCCTCGCAGTACAAGGCGGCGCACTCTGTCTACCACCGGCCCTTCCTCAACCGCGGAGCGATCCAGTCGCACAAGGAGAAGGAGGAGCCGGCCGAGGGCGAGGAGCGCGAGGGGCTGCTCCTGCGCCGGAGGGAGGGCGAGTCCCGCTCGGTCGGCCAACTCGCCGCGCTGCAGTCCTTCTCCGCCCTGCAGAAGCTGCACTACAACGTGCGGGTGGGCCGCTCGCCCATCCACAACTGGGGGCTCTTCACGACGTGCGGCATCCCCAAGGACGCGATGGTGGTCGAGTACAAGGGCGAGGCGATGCGCAACGTGCTGGCGGACCTCAAGGAGAAGAAGTACGGCGAGGGCGCGCTGCGCGGCCAGGGCGGCGACTGCTACATGTTCCGGATCGACCCCGAGACGGTGCTCGACGCGACCGTCAAGGGCAACGTGGCGCGCTTCATGAACCACTGCTGCCACCCGAACTGCTACTCCAAGGTCATCGAGGTGGACGACGACCGCGGCGCCGTGACCGTGCGGCGGAAGCACATCGTCATCTTCGCGCAGCGCGACCTCGAGGCGGGCGAGGCGATGCGCAACGTGCTGGCGGACCTCAAGGAGAAGAAGTACGGCGAGGGCGCGCTGCGCGGCCAGGGCGGCGACTGCTACATGTTCCGGATCGACCCCGAGACGGTGCTCGACGCGACCGTCAAGGGCAACGTGGCGCGCTTCATGAACCACTGCTGCCACCCGAACTGCTACTCCAAGGTCATCGAGGTGGACGACGACCGCGGCGCCGTGACCGTGCGGCGGAAGCACATCGTCATCTTCGCGCAGCGCGACCTCGAGGCGGGCGAGGAGATCATGTACGACTACAAGTTTGGCGTCGAGAAGGAGAAGATTATCTGCCACTGCGGCCACCCCAAATGCTTAGGGGTGATGAACTGAGCGCGCTGGCGCCGGACGCCGCTGCACACTCAGACGATGACCCCCCTCTACACTGTCCTCCATGTTTTGTTACGCGCACTCCGCACGCCCCTGCCTCGTGGCAGCGTGTTTTTAGCGGCAGCCCGAGTCTTCGCGGCGGCTGGGCTCTCTACTTTGATGCCAAAAAGCAGAGTACAGGTACGGCTCTTGAAACAGGTCTGGGCAACGAGAGAGCTCTACACACCAGCTAGCTGTAGGTGTAGCTCAGTGGCGCTGGGAAGCACATCTCGGCTGCCTCTCGCGTCTCTCGGCTCGCCTGGCTCCGGCCCCGCCGGCCCGCGCGCCCGTCCCGTCCACCGTCCCGCGCCGCCGCCCTGCACGCCATCATGGCTCACAGCGAGGAGTCGGAGGCGCAGCTTTCGAGTCTAGGCTCGACCTCCGCAGGCTAATTGGTGCTCTCCTCGCTGCACGGCCCGGCGCGAGGGCGCTATTCGCACCTTTCACGAGCCGGATGGCAGAGGCCATCTTGGTTGCCCTCGGGCTTGCGGCAGCCGAGTTGACGGGTGGCGAGACCAGCGAGGGGCGGCGGGAGAGTGCCTCGGCGAGATTAGACTGCGACCCAAACCGGCTCGTGTTGGCACGCTTCAGGCTGCTGCCGGACGACGACGAGGACGAGAGCGACGAGAGCGACCGTTGCAGTGTCGCCGTCGACGCGCGCCGCTTCAGCTCTCTCGGAGAGGTCGCATCAGCCCCGCCGTCCGCTGAGGCGGGCTCGGCGGATGCGTGAGACTGCACCCCTCCTGGAGCCCCCTTACCACGGGTGAGCAAGCGCACTGCACTGCTGGCTCCTGCGCTGAGGTCGGCCAGCTCCTGCGTCTGGACGCCAGAGATCTGGTCGAGCCGCCGGTCGAGCGCCTTGTTTGCCGCCTTGTTCTCCTTGTTGCGCTCGTTGCACTTTTGGAGCATGGACTCCTGGATGTCTGGAAACCGCTGCAGCACGATGGAGAAGCCCGCCTTGGTGAGCACCATCGTGTCGATCGACGTCCGCGCGCGCACCGACGCGCCGCACTTGCCCTGCGCCTTGAGAAGCGCCCCCTCGCCGACAAAGTCGCCGACGCCCAGCGTGGCCGTGACAAACATGAGGTCTTCGCTCACGATGATGTCGACGTTGCCCTTGAGGATGAAGTACATTGCGCTCCCGATCGTGTGCTTGCGCATGAGCCACTCCCCCTGCGGGAAGGACTGGAAGGAGAGGACCTGCACGATGGAGGAGATGAAGTCGGCGCCGCGGTCCTTGAAGAGCGGCACGCTGTTGACGGCGTCGCGGCAGATGTGCGACATCACCTCGGTTCGGAGCGAGGGGTTCAAGTCCTCGATCGACTCCTGAATCTCGACACCCTGCGTCTTCGCCCAGAGGTACTCGAAGTAGTGATCGGCTCGCGAGTGGAGGTCGAGCGTGAGCCGCTGGTGCGTCATGTACCTCTTCACCGAGTAGTGCGTCTTCCGGAAGCGCACCTCGCTAGCGTCGAGGTTGCTCGAGAGCTGGCCGATGGAGCCGATGATAAAGGCGACGAAAAGATGCCAAGGAACCACACCAGGAGCGTGAGGACGTGCTCCTCGATCGTCTCTGGCTTGATATCGCGGCCGAGTCCCGTCAAATTGGCCATCGCGTAGTAGATGGCGCGCAGGTACAGGGCCCAGCCGAGATCATCGGTGCCAATCACGGAGCGGCTCACGTCCCCGTCGGCAAAGCAACGATCCGCCGGGTAGAGGTGGCGGCTGTATGTCATCACATTCGGACTCGCAAAGTCGACGAAGCCAGCGGTGCATGCAACCGCATGCGTGCACATGAAGAACCACCAGACGAGGGAGATGATGCGTCGGAGCGAGAAGTTGGGCGAGGCCCCTGCAGCGAACTGGTACAGCTCGTACGACAGAGCCGAGAGCTCGAGCGTCCTAAGTAGCCTCAGGCCGCGCGCCATCGCCGCCGAGAAGAATAGGGCGGCGTTTCCACCGAGGGCCACGCCGGCGCCGAGGCAGACCCAGTCCACGGGCACAAGCGCGAGGCTCGCACGCCGGAAGCTGCGGCTGTGGCGGTACCGGTGTCCGATGAGCTGGGCGTCCTTGACCAGAATACCCTGGTCGTTGACGTACGCCAGCCTCAGGTTGAGGGGCACGTCGATGACGTAGACCAGGTCTGCAAGAAGGTCGAGGACGTTGACGGCCGTAAGCGAGGCCGGATACGTCAAGGCAAAGGCGCCCGCGGACGGCGACCCTCGGAACCGGAAAGCGACCCCGTACATCCACGTCGTGAGGTTCCACAGTAGGGCCGCCCACAGCAGCGTGACCCACGCCAGCCGCGCCCTTGTATCTGGCAGGAGCACGAGCGAGTAGGTCGGCTTGCCGCCATCCGGGTTGTCGGAACGGCTCAGGACAAAGCCCATCCACTCCCGAAAGCTCTCGCGCGGTCCGGCCTTCTTGGCCTCGCCGTGGACGGGCACGAGATTAGTTGTGGCGTCCTCGTCAACCACCAGCGACGCGGCGCGGCTGCTCAAGACCTCGACCGCCTCGGCAAATCGGACGTTGGTGTCGCCGCGCCTCAGGTTTGGCGCCGGGGCCTCGACCACCACCGTGCAGTCACGCGGCGTGGCGTGCGGTGAGCAGTCGGAGGATGGTACAGAGGAGATGGTGGAGGCCGTATCTGAGCGCTCGACCTGCTGCGGGGCCTTGGGCGCGACGCGGATGCTCGAGCTCGAGTTGACGTGCTTGAGGACATGCGTGCCCGCCCGCTTCAACTTCCGACCCAAGGAGGGCGGTGGGGCGCGCTGGGCGGCGCCGGCCGCCATGGATTCCCGGACGCGATTGAGCCACCGTCTCCCGTACTTGTGCAGCAGCTCTGCTTCGCGCCCTTTGCGCAGGTCCTGGTCGATCCGCTCGCGCACGAGCTCGCGCAGTGTCGCGGTCGTGTCGGGGTAGTACGGCAGGATCTCAGCGAGGGCGGTGCGGGTGAGAGAGAAGAGGTCGCAAAACGTGGTCGCCTGGACGGTGTTGCCGCGGGGCTTTGATATCAGCAGGCCCTCGCCAAAGTAGTCGCCGTGTCGCAGCTTGGCCACCCTGACCGGTGGCTGGCCGACGAGCACATCGAGTTCGCCGCGGTGGACGAAAAACATCTCGTCTCCCATCTCGCCAGTGGTGAAGATGACCTCGCCCTCGGCGGCGATGCGCGGCCGCAACCGGTCCACCAGGGAGCGCACAAAGCCCTCGTCGGCGCCCAAGAAGAAGGGCACCTTCTCCACCATGCCGCGCGTCAGCTGCATCATTACGTCGGTGCGCAGGGACGACGGCAGCGTGTGCAGCACGCGGAGGTCGTCAAAGCCCTGATGGTTGCGCCACCGGTAGGTGTAAAAGTTGAGCACGCGTCGCTCGACCTCGGGTGGCAGCCGGTGCTGCTTCAGCATCCGCCACACGTACAGCTGCTTCGTCTGGAATAGCGACTCGGCCTCAGAGATCTCGTCGACGATGGTGGAGACGCTGCCGATGATGACCGCAAACACGACGATGCCGAGAAACATCACCACGACCGTGAAGAGGGACTCGAGCCACGTCTGAGGCTCCTCGCCGTCGGACAGCCCGGTCATCAGGCCGAGGGTGTAGTACACCGAGTCGAAGAACTGCATCGTGCGGCGTGCGGAGCTGCCCGTGTAGAGGACGGCGGCGGGGCCGCTCGAGTTGGTGAGCAACGGCTCCATCAGCGCGGGGAAGAATAGGGTGGAGCCGTGCATGAAGAGCAGCTTGCCGATCAGGAACCAGGTGCAGGCGGCTATCTGGGCAATCACCGCCATAAAGAGCGCCAGGGCAAACAGCCTCCGGAAGTGAGGCGGCACCCGCCACTCGGTCTGCACCACCTTGAGCAGGCCGGGCAGCTCAGCGACACGCACCAGCTTGAGCACGCGAGAAAAAGAGTGCGTCCAGCGCCACGGCGCCAGCGAGACGATGACCTCGCCGTAGTCCTGCGCGACGGCGGCTGGCCACGCGTACTCGAGCGGCGCAAGCCGCAGTACGTCGAGCGGGAGCGCGGCAAGAATGTGCGCCACAAAGCGCCACGAGCGCAGGTAATGCCGCTTGATGTCGCGCTGCACCATCACCATGTTGTTCTGGGAGTCGACATAGCCGAGGTGGAGGCTAAGCGCAATATGAAGGAGCAGTAGCGCGTCAAAACAGGCGTTGATTAGGTCCGCCGGCCCGAGCCCGGCGTCGAGGGTGCCGCCGTCGACCGAGATGGTGGCCGGATCTCCGCAAGTCGCGTCGACGAGCGCGGGCAGTGAGTCGAAGAAGGAGGTCGTGAGAGTCACCTCAAAGAAGAGCCAGATGACACACGCGAGCTGCAGGAGGTTCCAGTACTTGATGCTCCAGTGGTTTGGGTGCACGACAAAGTTGCGCCATCCGCGCTTCTGCAGCGCCATCCGCGCAAGAAAGTCGGCGAGCATCTCGTCGCCCTTCTTGTCCTCCGACGAGCGGCGCTCCGCCTGGGCTCGGCTGTCCGAGCTGCTCCGGCGGTCGCTGCCCCGACGAGACGGGCTCGGCTCGCTGTCGCGACGCGTACTCCCCCGCTGCCCCCCGCTGAAGGCGAGGCCGCTCTTGAAGAGCTGCTGCAGGCTCTTGCGCTTCTCCGCCGGCTCGCGCCCTCGCCCCTCCTCGACCCGCTCGCTCTCCTCCTCTGGTAAGCCCCCGCGGCCGCCGTCGCGCGTGCTCGCCCGGCTGCCGCCGCCGCTCAGCCTGCCACGCGCCTTCTCCCAGTAGCTCGCGCGCCGAGGGATCGGAGTGGCGTCCCGCACGAGGGGCCTCGGCGCTCGCTTCTGGGGCGGCTGTGCCGCCTGGGCATTTGCCCCGTCCGCTCCGCTCCGCTCGGACAGCGACATGCTGTGGGTGCTTGAAGCGCGAGCCATCGTCGCTCTCCCGCCACCTGCGTTCGCCTCCTCGAAGTTGCAGGCGAGCGAGCGCCTGCTGCCTCCGCCTGCTGGCCGCGCCCGCTCCGCCCTCGTGACTGCGGCAGGGGCATTGGCTCGCGCAGCGTTCGCCAGGCGGGTGGCGAGGGTGCACGCGGTGCTCGGCTGGTCGTGTCGGCCGCGCGAAGCGTATGAAGCCTCATCATTGTCGATGCTTTCCACCACCATTGCATCTGTCCCACCCCTCTCGCCACTGCACAGCGCACCCGCAGGTAACGGTGTGGCGTACGTGTGTGCGTCGCCGCTGGTGCTCCCCCCAGTCTTGGTGTCGCACATGGGGACGTCGGGGCTGACTCGCAGCCCCATTTCCTGCGCCGCGGGGCTGGATTGCTGCCGCCCCGCTTCAAACCAGGCGTCGAGGTCCTATCAGAAAGTTTGCAATCGCCGAACTTCGGCGACGCCTGCCCTGGTTTCTCTATTTGTTCTCTTAGGTGAATTTGTTTATCCAGATTCCAGTTCTTCCGCTGCGGATGTGTCCTTTTCTTTCTGTCCTCGCCCGACAAAGAACATTTCTTGCCTGCGGGTGTAGTTCGATCTAGCGCGCCTTTTCTTTCTGTCCTCGCTGGACTACGCATTTAGAATCATTTTGTCTGCAGCCTCCTGCGGCGCCCGAGGCTTCGCCCAGCACCACTCGCAACAGCGGCATGCTCCAAAGCTGGACTGCCACACTTCCCGACGAAGCGCACGCCGCCGTGCTGGAGCTCGCGGACTGTGAGGTTGGCGCTGTGTTCTGCGGCGCTCTGTGAAGAGGGAAAGAAACGCAACCACAACAGCGACGCTCAGAGTACAAGTGGCCGGGATGCTGGGGCTGCTCGCCCGGCCGTCGCTCCGGCACGGCGCGCCGCCGTCTGTGCTGCGCACAGCGGTGCGGCTCTCCGCCTCGCTGTGGCGGCACGAGCACCTGTGCCTCTCACCAGAGGGCCGCTACCGCGTGCACCGCCGCGTCAACAAGCCCACCGCACCGCTGCGGCTTGAGGCGGTGCGTGGCGTCAAGGGCAGGGCATTTCTCCACGGCGTGCTGCTGCCCGACGGGCACGTCTTGCCCTGGTACGGCCGGCCGGGCAACGACTTTGTCCAGTTCTGGCGGCATAAGGTGGCGGAGTGGCGGGCGCTGCTCGCCGCAAGGGCAGCGCGCGGGCTGCCCGAGGTGTTTTGCTGCCCGCGGTGCGACGGGATCCTGACGCGGCTGCCGCGCCCCGAGGGCTTCGACGAGCTCTTCGCCGAGGATCGCTACCGTTGCGACACGCCGACATGCCGCATCGACGAGGCGCGCGTGCGCAAGACGAAGACGGTCGCCGTTGTCGAGGTGTTGCGCGGTGTCAGGGAGGACAAGGCGTGGCGGCGGCTCGTGCGAGGGGAGCAGGAGGACGAGCACGCCGCCGGCGAGGCACAGCCGCAGCGTCCGCCGTTGCCGCGCGGGAGGGCTTCCAAGGTGGTGGACCTCCCGCCGCTCGAGGCGCCCGAGGCGGTGGCGGCGGCCGAGGCGCTGCGGCGGCTGCGCGAGGCGAGGGCGGCGGCGGCGGCGGAGTCGGGCGGCGGAGAGGGCGAGGGTACTCGCGAGGGTGGTGCGGAGCCGTCCAGGGAGGCTAGGCACGAGTACGGTAGGTTCTGAGAATATGTGTGAGGTTTCCGAGAGCGCGGCGGCCGGGGTGCGGGGTGCGGAGAGAGATAAATAAATAAATAAATAAACGGACACCTCTCTACTGTGAGATGGGTAAAAAGGAACAGGTCCCCGCCCTTGCGATCTTTGTGCAGGGTTCGTTGTGGGTGTGGTCGGCGACTAGCCGGGGTCGTCCTCCCGATGGGGGACTACGGACTAGCACTAGCCTGCGGGGAGAGAGAGAGACACAGTTTACGACTTTTTTATACACACAAGGGGAATTGTGTTTTCTTGTTCTCTCTCGCGGCAGTCGAGCGTGTGGCCCCGCGGTGCGGCGGTGCTCTTGCGCTCTTGCGCGGGCCGCCGCCGGGCTGGCGTCAAGTTGCACTTGCAGACGTGAGACGACGCGAGACACGTGTGCAAAAACTTAAATAAATAAATAAAACGGGCAAACTCTGAGACGAGATGGGATTTAGGGACATGTGTCCCCGCCCTGCACGATCTTGGTGTGAGGGATCTTCAATCCGTGTCCCCTCACCCCTCGTCACAACCCGACACGGACGAGAGCGGCAAGTGCAAAAACTTGCAAAAAAAGAGGCATGTCCATGTCCATGTCCATGTCCACGATGTCCATGTCCATGTCCATGTCCATGTGTGCTGTGACGTGTGAGGCGGGTGAGTGAGGGGCGTCCGAGGTCAAACGTCCGTGTGAGAGCTACTGTGTTGTGTGCGAGCCGAACGATACGGCCGCTTTGCGTTTTACTGTAAGCTGGTGTCGGTGCACAGGCGGCGTCACCGTCAGGCCTCGCGTCGGCCTTGAAAACCCAAAACGTTATATAGTACCGGCGCATGGCTCTGCCACCGCTCTGCCTCCGCGGCGCGCCTCCCTCTGTTTGCTCTGACTCTCTCTCTCCCACGACCCCATCTGCGCTCCCGCGCTCGCCCGCGGCCGCTCTCCGCACTCGCCGCGCGCCTCGCGCACCAAATCACAGAGCAGAGGCAGGTGGACACACCCGCCCGGCTCGGGCCGCCAGCCCGCCCCCCTCGGCGGCGAGGGAGGGGCGGGCGGCGGCCAGAGCGGGGCGGCGCCCCTCTAGATGCCGGGCGGGAAGTTGTCTACCTGCCCCTGCTCCGAGACGGCCTGCCCGCCCGCCGAGTAGTCGATCTTGATCCTCAGCAACACGGGCTTCTGGCCGTGCATCGAGTTTGCAACCTTGAAGGTCTGGGTCACCTTCCCGGAGTTGCTCGGCGGCACGGTCGACGAGGAAGCGGGGCTCATCTGCAGCTTCATGTACTTTGGCACCGCCACCTGGAAGTTGAAGCCCGTGAGGGGCGTCGGCTGCGCCGAGGTGAAGGACGCCTCGATGGCCGTCACGGACGGGTTCGACGCGTCCTTGGTGCACGCAAACTCGATCTGGAGCCCGTTCTTGTTCCACGCCTGGAAGGGCGGGAAGGAGCCGGGCGCGGCGGGCGGCGGCGCCGGCGCGGCGCCGCCCATGCCCAGCATCGCCATCGCGTCGACCGGCGGCGCCGCCGCCGCCGCGGGCGGGCCGCCCCCGCCCAGCAGGTCCAGCAAATCCATCCCGCCCGCGGCCGGCGGCGGCGCGGCGGGCGCACCGCCCATCGCCGGCATCGCGGGCGCCGGCGCCGGCGACCCGCCCAAGATGTCGCCGAGCAGGTCCATCTCGGACGGCGGCGCGGGCGCGGCTGCAGCCATGACGGCCGGCGCCGCCATGAGCTCCGACGCGCTGCCTCTGCTCGGGCCATCGCCGTCCATCGCTAGCGCCGCCGCCGCCGCCGCCGCCGCCTGCCGGTCCTTCTTCGCGAAAGCGGGCATCCGCTCGAGCACGCCGGCGCGGATGGCGTCCAGCTTGAGCAGCGACGAGTACTCGACGGAGCGCTGCTGCAGCTCCAGCGACATGGAGCACGAGTAGGCGGCGAGCTGCTTGTGTATCAAGGCGAGCGAGTCGGGCGCATTCGCGAAGCGGGTGGTCAGCTTGACGAAGGCGTTGATGGTGTACTCCTTGGTCGTCACGTCCGCCACGGGCGATCGCATCACCGAAGTGAGCAGCTCGACGACGGTCTGCGGGTCGGGCGCCTCGGCCTCGACGCCGGCGGGCACACCGCCGATCAGCATCTCGCCGTACTCGCCGACGCACCAGACGGCGAGCTGCAGCAGCACTGGCTGGTTGGTCTGGTCGGCGAGCTTGGCGTAGAGCTTGTGCGTCGCGTACGCCTGCAGCTCCGGCGTCGAGGTGATGAGGGCGATCATCGAGCAGACGGTCTCCTCGGACTCGAAGGAGGTTGAGGCGGAGAGGGTCTGGATGATGGTGTCGACGTGCCACTCCTTGTCGGTCGAGAACTTCTCCACCACGGTGCAGATGCGCTGCGTGAGCTCGTCCTTGAACTCGACGTCGCACGCGAGCAGGTACGAGAGCAGCTCCTTGACGAGCACCTGCCGGACGAGGGGCGGGACACGTCGCGGGCGCGCGGCGGCGGCGCGGGCGCGGCTCGCGCGCGCCTTGACGTTGGCCTCGTTGACGAGCGCGTAGACGAGCTCGAGCGCGCGCTGCCGGATGGACGAGTCGTTGTCCTTGAGGCAGTCCACGATCGTGTTGCGGTGCCGCTGCACCGCCTGCGTGTCCTGCGCGATGACCTTGTGCAGCGTGTTGAGCGCGACGTACCGGATGTTGTTGTCGCGGTTGATGAGGAAGCGGCCGAGGATGTTGACGGCGAGGACGCGGAGGCCCGACTCGACCTCGATCGCCATGATGGTGAGGACGCACTCGTACAGGATCGCGTTGCCCGCGTTCTTCGCTGACTCTGTGTTTGTGGCGACCTGCGCGAGGATGTCGTTCATCTGGTCCGACGTCTCCGAGTGGCCACGGCCGAGGACGCGCAGCATCGTGAGGATCTCGACCTGGAGGAAGGGGTCGACGATACCGTGCACGTCGTGCTCGGGCGCGTACCCCGAGAGCACCAGGTTCTTGAGCGCAGCGATCAGCGTCGGCGTGTGGCGGCGCAGCTGCTCGATCATCGCCGGCTCGGTGATGCACATCTCGCGCATCAGCTTGAGGCAGGTGAGGAGCACGGCGTGGTTGCGCGAACCGAGCAGCGTGCCGATGCGCTCGAGGAAGGTGTCGCACAGCTCGGGGCACTTGCGCAGGATCCGGATGCAGCAGAGCGACGCCTTTTTCGACACAAACGGATTGGAGCCCACCATGAGCTTCTCCACCTCGGGCGACAGGTCGCGGCAAATCTCGGCCGAGGAGATGTTGCCGATGGCGCAGCAGGCGAGGCCGGCGATGTACTGGTTGGACGACTGCAGGTCGTTCTTCAGCGAGTTCTCGACCAGCATGAGCACTGCGGGGCGCCGCGCGGAGTAAGGGAGGGGTGTGGATCGGCTCTGCGCCCAGAGCCGGCGGCGGGGGAGGGGGGAGGCGCCGTCGCGGCGCGCGCGCGGTCGCGCCGCGCGGCGCCGGTTGCGCGCGCGCGACCGAGCGCGCTGCGCCGATGGTGCTCGCGGCGGCGGCGGCGGTGGCGGCGGTCACCTTCCTGCCGCTCGTCCAGCAGAATCATGAGCCCGAGGTAGCCGATCCGCTTCTCCAAAAACTTGCTGCCGGCGATCAGCTTGAGGCACTCCATCTGGCCCCAGTGGGTCGGGTACCCGAGCATGTGGATAAACAGCAGCTTTGCCACGTTCCGATGCCGCAGCTCATTGTTCTCATCCTTGAAGGCTGTGCGTATCGAGGCGCACTCCTTGTGGATGCACGCGCGCTCGTCGGCCTGCGTCTTGCAGGACCGCACGTTGCGGATGAGCTCCCGCAGCCGGATGGACATGTCTCCTGCTCGGCCGCCGCGCGCGGCTGCTCTGGTCACAGCGCTCGCGGAGTGGGGTGGGCGCTGTGTGTACAGAGCGCCGCAGAAGTTCGCAAAAGAAATACACTGGCTGATGCGAGGGATCGGGAGGGGAGCACAAATAGGACGCCCAGCCTTGCCGCCGAGTGCGTATCCTATGCGAGAGAGATGCCTCCCCTGTGGCTGTGCCCTGACCCCTGTGCCCAGCCCTCTCCGCGCCGCGATGCCCCCGAGCGCCGCAGAAGTTCGCAAAAGAAATACACTGGGCCGATTATTAGATAGTGCCCGATGCGAGGGATCGGGAGGGGAGCACAAATAGGACGCCCAGCCTTGCCGCCGAGTGCGTATCCTATGCGAGAGATGCCTCCCCTGTGGCTGTGCCCTGACCCCTGTGCCCAGCCCTCTCCGCGCCGCGATGCCCCCCCCCCCCCCCCTCGCTTTTGCAAATCCTGCACAGGTGGGGACTGTCTGTCCTCGACCCAGCCAGCCCTAGCTTGGGATGTCCGTTTTATTTATTTATTTATCGCCGCCTTCGCGGCGGCTGATGATGCCGCCCTCGCCATCCGGCGCGCTAGGCGGCGCCACCGGCGTCCGAGGCGACGTCGAGCACGGGCTCTTCACACGTGTCCCGCCGTGAACAGGCGCCGAGCCTCTCTCGCGCGTGCTTTCGGCGGAGATGCGGCAGCAGCGGATCGCCGCAACCATCACACGCCAGCGGTCGATGTGAGGCCATTGCGCATTGGAGACTGGCCGCTAGCCCACATGTGCCGCCAGCCGCGCCGCGCTCCGGTCGGCAAATTCCCACTGATGCCCGGGAAACATATACACTCCCCAGCCGTAGCATATGCACAACGTTACGTCGCGCTTTAATACATTTGGTGTGGGCGAATACTCCCTTAATGTAGGTAAACCATAAAAGTAGATTTGAATTCGTCCACGTACGGCTTCGTGATTGGTTGGGGTGGCCTCAAGCATCCCCAAGGGAGCCTCTGCGGTGCCACATAAGCAGCTTGGTGATTGTCGAGACTTTGAAGGATTCGTTTGAAGAAACGCAAACAGGCCAGACACTACTATGGTCACCAGTAAACCATAATTCGACTTTGAGGGATCATATCTCAAAAAGCCGGGAGATAACAGAGCATTATTGTTGCATATTATACCACATAAGGTCAAACTTGACCCCACAAGCATCAAGAACCCGATGCTCCGGCTCGACTGTGCCGGCACACTGCCTCCTCACGCCTGCTGCCAGCAGCCGTCGCGGCCCGTGGTGCACCAGAGAGAGAGGTCGACGCGTTGCCCCCGCCGGCGACCCCGCGCGGCTCAGGCCGGCCAGAAGGTGTGTGGTGGCGGCACCGTGGCAGGATTGCGGAGAAGAGCTCGCCGAACGCGAGCAGAAGATGTCCAAAGTGTGCCAGCGCGAGAGCCTCGCGAGCGGGCGCAGAAGGAGCTCGCCGTGACACGATGCCGGGCGGTGGTGGTGCTCTGGCGACTGTGCACAGTGGGAAAAGTCAGGCTGCAACAGGGCAGCACGATGGTAGTGCCCTGCTGCAGCCTGGCCTGACATGCACAGGGCGAACAGAGACACTACTATCGTCCGGCGCTCGTCGTCGAATCTGGGCGAACTTCGACCGCCGCCACAGCTCACCACGAGCACGCAGCGACAAAATGTTGACTGTACGGAAGTTGAGGCTGGTCGAGAGGAAGAGGCTGCCGTGCGAGCCGGCAGCAGGCTGGCTCGTCGTGGACTGCAGCGGCGACTTTTATGGGCTTCTCTGTTCATAGTAGCGTGCACGCTACTATGGTTTACCCACATTAAGGGAGTACACGGATGTATCAGCAGAAATAGAGGCCCATTAGGTGGCATAGCCTCTTGGTCTTGCTCTAAATAAATAAATAAATAGATCAGTCAACCCCTGGTGGGATTAGGGCTAAAAAGAAACAAAACAGACAACCCAAGGGAGGATTAGGGCTAAACATAAACAAAGGAAGCGCATTTCTTTTTCTCTTCCGGCGCGGGGGGCCAGTGCAATACGCCAGCAAGTGCGCCTCCTCGAGCGTACAACATATGCTCTCCACCGTCTTCGCACTCCCAAGCCTACACACTCCGCCAACAGTGGTCTCGCACGCAGCGCTTCATCCTCCTGAGCCCACCTCTTCCTCGTCGTCCTCTCCACGGTCGCTGGTCCGCCCTCCCGACGAGCGGCTCACCGCACTCGCCGCAGCCCACCGAGACCTGCTCGCGATCCTCGGCACCGATGAGGCAGCCATCCGAGCGAGGGTGGCCGAGCGGAGGCACACTTCGAGCGCAGCGCGCCACCCGCGCTCAGGCCGCAGCCTCAGCGCCCGATTCTTCTCCAAGACCGTCCCCAACCACCTGCCCATCCGCGCGCACTCGGTCGTGCCTGACAGCGCGCTCTTCGTCGCATCCGACCGCATGTCGCGTCAGCTGCGCGGCTTGCCTCCGGCTGTGATCGAGCGGCTCTGCCGGCGAGGAGCGGCGCTTCACCTCATCGGCTCGCGCCAGGTCACCACCGACCTCCCCGAGCACCGGCACCTCCGCGGCGTGCGCGGAGCCGTGCCGGGCGAGGTGGCGGAGGACGAGGAGGCGCGGCGGCTCGCCGAGTCGGTGGGGCGAGACCGCGCGGCGCTGTCGCCCGAGCTCGAGCGGCGGCGGCGGCGGCTTCTCCCCTCCTCGCAGATGACCCTCGACGAGCGATCGCGAGGCATGGGCGGGCTGCAGGCTTTACGCCACAAGACTACACTGCACCAAGTAAATAGCATACATGTTAGATCACATGCTAACAACCCTCGGGCGGGCGGCTGCAGGCCTCGTGCGGCGAGGAGAACCTGCTCGCTCCCGAGGCGCAGCCTCTCCGGCCCTCGAAGGGCGCGACCGGCTGCTGTGGCGGACCCTGTGTCCTGCGCCTGTGTCCCTAGGCGGACCCTCGCTACCGCGGGCGGTGCGTCCTCTCGCACGAGCTCTCGCACACGGTGATGGACCACGGCCTGCCCGCGGCGGCGAGGGCCGCAATCACGGCCTGCTGGGAGGGCGCGTGGCGCAAGGGGCTGTGGCGGAGGCCGGACGGCTCTTGCGCGTACGCCGCGTCGGCGCCGGAGGAGTACTTTGCGGAGCTGTCGATGTGGTACTGGGGCAGCCACGGCGAGTTTGTGGACGACGCCAACCGGCTGCCCACTCCTGGCCCGTGGGGCCTTGCGCGTTATGACCCGGATGGCTTCGCGCTCGTTGGCGCCTTGTGGAGCGGGCGGCACGCCTCCCTCGCGCCCGGGGCCGCCTCCAACGAGACGGCGTGCAAGCTGCGTGCGGTGCGACTCGCGCGCCCCGCCTCCGACCCGCAGGGCGCGCAGCCCGTCGAGATGGAGGTGGACAACTCGCGCGGAGAGACGGACCTCTACCTCGCCTGGATCAACGGCAGCGGCGTCGCGCACTCGTACGGCGTCGTCGCGGCACATTCGTACCACGTGCAGCGCACCTTCAGCGGCCACGTGTGGGAGATCTCGCGGGTCGCGCCGCCCGGCGGAGGCGAGGATCGCGCCAGTTCCGGATCGCGCCGCTTCCGGATCAGCCGCCACAGTCTCAACCTCATCGACGCGGCGGTCGCGTTTGGCGACGAGGTGGGTGCCGGCGGACCTGTAATAAGTGGAAGCGGGTCCGAGGCGTGAGGTGGCTGGCCGCGAGCCATGCCACGAGACGCCGCGTGTGTATGTGTTTTTTAGTGCAAGTTTATGTGTAAGCATCGCCCACGCGCCAAGTCACACAGGCCGGACGCGGCGACGCCCCCCCGCGCCCGCCTGCGCCCCCTCAAACGCGACCGCGCACCTCTCTCTCTCCACCGCTCTCACTCCTAGGCTATATTCACGACACACAACGCACACAGTACAGTTGGAGTTGCAGCGAGTTCAGCGCCACACCTCACGCTACAACTCGTGCTTCGGGTCCGGATAGCGCTGCAACAGCATGTGAAACCTGTGGGACGTAACGTGGAGCGGCAGCTTAGCAGAGCCCGCATGGGAGTAAGGGGGTGGTGCTGTTCGATTCGGCCACTCCGCGCGGGGATTTAAGGCAGTACAGGCGCAGGGCGGAAGGCGCACATTAGCTCCTCTCGGTCCTTCCACTGTCGCAGCGTGAAGATAAGCGCCTGGTCGTCCTCGGCCTTTGGTGGTGCATTCGTCAAGTAGAAAGTGCGCAGCTGATTCAAGTACTCCTCTGCCGTTGGCTTGGCGCCAATACGTTGGCACGTCGCCTCCGCAGCCTCGGTCATGTCTGGCTCGAGAGTACTGCTGGCATCATGGCCAACGCACTGATGCCGCTCACAGCACTGCCTCACCTCACCGACGTTGCAGCGCTGCCCCCCCATCAAGCACTTAGTCAGCTGCCCCGCCGCCGTGGCGGCCAGCAATAGCACGAGCCCGCCGCGCCGCATGCGAGCAGAGCGCGGCCTTGCCGCGCTGCGCCGAGGCGTACGCGGCGGATGTGTTGTTGCGCGCCGACAGAACGTCGCGCCGTTCTGAGCACTTCCACGTTTCCCAACGGCGGGCGCTTTTTTACAAGATTTGCTGTGAGCTTGTGAGTTGGAAGGTCGGCCCCAGATTTTGTATACCAAGGCGGTGCCCGGTGCCGAACCTATCGGACCTTAAGACAGCATCGCAGATCCCTGGGCGAGGGTGATTGATCCTTTTGATGGCGGGTCCCCGTCCAAGTGCTCCGTCGGGTCCCAGGGAGGGAGGGGCTGTCTCTGGCGGACGGAGGAGGGTTGGAGAGCAACCCTCGAGATCTTGCGCCGCCGTTCCCCAGCTGCCAGTTTCCACGCGCACCTGGAAGTAGAGCTCGTCGCCATAGCCGCATTGCGCATCACAGCCTCCTCGTGAGCGCACTGTGCTGCGTGGCACGCGTGCGCGCGGGGTCTCCACAACTACGGGGTGTGGACCCTGAGTTGACCAGGGGTTGTGCGCTGGGCCCTCCTGCTCGGCTCCAGCGAGTAGACAAGTGTTGTCATCAACAGAGTAGAAGGATCTGACCTCGGGGCCGATGAGCGATGTGACCAAGCGCTGGTAGCGTGGTTTAACCTCACACCCATGGTCTCACAGTGTGCCGGCAGTCGCCGAGCAGTGTCGCTCACACAAGCCACAGCACAAGTGACTGAGGGCCAGTGAGGGCGAGCCCATCGCGCTGTCACAGCTGTGGCAGCCGCACAGTAGGCTGTGTCAACTGTGCAGAGTGTGTGAGCAGCAGAGGAGCTGCTCTCCAGGCTTCAGGCGCAAAGAGATGCATGCCACCGAAGGCGCTGTCGAGGTTCGCCGAGCGCGGCGGAAGTTGGGGGACACCGTCACCGACGAGTGCGTTGGAGTATTCACTCCGGACAAAGACGGGGACACACAGCGGACGGTGGTCGGTGCGGGGTGTGTCCCCGTCCCCATAGCGGCGAGGCGCGGGACCGTCTGAGCCCTGTGGCGAAGTGGGTCGCGTCCCCCGATTTCCTCAACTCACAGTCCACACCCTTTACACAAGCTTTCGGGTGCGTGTACTTTATCAATTAATATTCAACCTCAGTACCAATTGATACATGCCACACACGGTCACACGCACCCTACGTTACTTTGTTCGGCCGCGTCCCCCGCGCTGGCGAGCGCGGTGTGTGTGCCTGCCCTTTGCGCCCTTGCTGGCCACCGAATCGGGGCCAGCAATGGCGGGGCTAGGTGGCTGCGATCGCAATGACGCCGCCCCGCCCCGCAACGCGACATCGTCTCCAGCTGCAGCTCGTTGCGACAGCGCCGTCGGCCCCAGCAAGAAGGAGAGCTGCGCCCGCGTCTCGAGCGCCTCGAGCGTCGCCACCGTCGGCGCGAGCGCGAGCAGGCGCTCCGCAGACGCCGCGTCGAGGCCGTTCTCCTTGGCCTGGCCGAGGCTGGCGTTGAGGGAGCGCACGCCGCCCGGGAGCCGCGCGAGGAAGGCGTCGAGCGTCTCGACCTCGCCGCCGCCGAGTCGCTTCTGCACACCGCGCAGCAGGGCGGGCTCGTCGTACCAGATGCAGCAGCCGCCGAGCTCGGCGAGCTTCGTGCTGAGTGGCCTGCCCTCCCACTTGCGCCGGTCGTAGTACCACACCTTCTCCCGGTGCCCGCTCGCGACGAGGCTCACCGCGAGTCCAACCACCTCGGCACGGCCCACCCGGCCGACGCGGTGGATGTAGTCCTCCTCCTTGTCGGGCAGGGTCATGTTGATGACGCACGGCAGCTCCTTGATGTCGAGGCCGCGCGCGGCGACGTCGGTGCAGATGAGGAAACGCACGTCGCCCTCCTGCGCCCAGAGAGGAGCTGCTTACTACTATACTGGCGGACGTCACCCGCCTGCGCCAAGCGGGCATATGCTCTGGGTCCACAGCATGTGCGCGTCGCGCCGGCGTCACACCGCCGCGGAAGGGGGGGGGGGGGGGCGGAGGGGCGGGGCGGTGGGGGCGGCGCGGGTTGAGGGCGGCCTTGAAGGCGGCGAGGTTGCGCCGCCGCTCCTCCATCGGCCGCTGGCCCGCGAGCACGACGCACGAGTACGGGCTCTCGACCCCCTTCTCCGCCTATGTAATATACAATACATAAATATACAATACATATACGAGTACGGGCTCTCGACCCCCTTCTCCACCTTGCCGCGGTAGGCCTTGCCGCCGCCCGCCGCGTGCAGGAAGCGCTCGAGGTTGTCGCAGTCGAGGTTGGTGCGGCAAAAGACGAGACACTGCGCCAGCTGCAGCCGCTCCACCACCCGCAGCAGCGTGAGCGGCTTGAGCCGCTTGACCGCCTCCGAGCCGCTCTCGGCCGCCGCGGCCGCCCCCTCGCCGACCACATCCTGCGCGTGCACCCCGTCGGTGGGCACGCGCCGCGCGGCGTCCGCCCACGCGCCCCCGTCGGTGGCGTCGGCCGGGTCGACCGGGACATACACGTGGTGCACCGCCTCGGGAACGTGCTCTGCGCCCTTGAGGTCGACCAGGGTCGGGCTGCACGTGATCCGCTGGGCGAGCGAGCGAACCTCGGCCGTGTGCAGCGTCGCAGAGAAGAGGAGCGTCTGCAGCCGTCCGCCCGTCCGCCCTGTGCGCGGCAGCTTGGCGTGCAACTGCAGGATCGTGTCGAGGTTGCCCGTGTCAAGCAGCCGGTCCGCCTCGTCCAGCACGAAGAACTGCACCGCAGACAGCCGCAACTTGCCCTGCTTGACCAAGTCTGCGACGCGGCCGGGCGTGCCGCACACCACGTCCACCCCGCCCTTGAGCTGCTGCAGCTGGCGGCCGCCGTCGACGCCGCCGACGAGGAGCGCGGCGCCGAGCGACGGCTGCGTGAAGAAGCGCGAGAAGTCCCCGACGCACCGGTGCACCTACTCACCACACCCCGCTCGCATTGTCACCACCGCCACCACCGCCACCACCGTTTTGTTTGTCGACGCGCACCTGCTCGCACAGCTCTCTCGCCGGCTCGAGGATGAGGGCGGTCGGGCAGCCGTCGCCGCCTCTCACCGCAGCTTCTCGCGGGTCTGCCGGCGCCGACGCCGCGTTCGAGGCCGCGTGCTCTGCAGCCGCGCGAGCGATCGGAGTCGCCCCGGAAGGCAGCGCGGCGAGCGGCGCCTCGCCGAGGCTCAGCTTGACGGCGCAGCCCTTGAGGCAGACTGCCGGGAAGAGCGGCTGGCGAGCGAGGCTCGGGCCAACCTCGAAGGCCTCGCCGAGCGGCCTCCCGTTCTTTGAGAAGCTGATCACGCCGCGGACCTGGTCGAGCAGGCAGCCGATGACGTCGCCGCACCCGTACGGCTCGCCGTAGTCGAGGAACCTGCCGCCGTGCGACTTCTTACCCGTCCCGCCAAAGCCGAAGCCGTGCGCGTCCTTGCCCAGCTCGCGCTTCGCGTTGAGCGCCGCCCAGCCGACACGGCAGATGCCGCCCTCGCTCTCCTGCACCACCTCAAAGTAGTGCACGCCGCCGCGCACGCCGAGCCCGCACCGGGCACCCGCCCACGAGCCTGCAGCGCTCGCGCGCACGCCCTCCTCCACGCTGAGCAGGAGGTCGCGGTCGGCGCCGAGCCCCACAGAGGCGGCGCTCGCGGCGGCGGCCTGCGCCGCGGCGACCGCCGCCATCTTGGAGGCCGACTTCTCCATCTGCTGCTCGCGCAACGCCTCGTGGCAAATCTGCAGCACCGGGAGGGCAAAGGCGCCCGTCTTTCCCGACCCGGTCTCGGCGGCCGCCATGACGTCGCCGCCTCCGAGGATAAGCGGGACCGCCTCCTGTTGCACCGGAGTCGGCAGGAGCCAGCCGAGCTCCTCGACGGCGCGGATGATCTCGGGACAGAGGCCGAGCTCCGCAAAGGCAGCCATGCCGGCTGAGGCCGCGCTGCTGCAGGGTGAACGGACGCTGCGGGCGCGGGCGCGGGGGTGGAGGAGTTTGTGAGGAGGGTGCCTACGAAGGAGACGATAAGCATGCAGGTGAATGCATGCGAATGCAAAAATGCAAAACAAATGCAATGCCTGGGAAACCACACGCATTGTTGGGCAAGAACCACACTTATGCCGTCCTGGTAGAAGGCGCACGCCCGCACGTCGCAGATGATGCCCTTGACGCCGTCCGTCACGGTGCCGCACCAGATGGCCTTGCACATGCCCCTGATGCCGTCCTGCGCACCGATGACGCTCCAGTCGTCCATGGTGTCCCCGAGGATGCCTGGCGCGCGGAGGCGTGGCGGATTGTAGAACACCTTATCGATCGAGGCATCCTTCGGCTTGTACGCCTTCACGCCCTTGACAGGCTTGAGCAGCCCCGGTGCGATCTGCTTGTTGGCCTCGTACTGCGTCTCCGCGTACTTCAGCTTGCTCGCCGCCTTCCCTGGGTCAACGGCGACCGCGGGTTGCAGCCGCCGAAGTCCAGCGCCAGCCTCGCCCGCACGCGCCGCATAGAGAGCGCGCCGCTCGTCCGCCCCCGAGTCGCGCACAACCTCGCGCAGCGGCGCCGTCTCCTCGTCTTCGTCGGCGGAGGCGTCCGCGACGAGCGCGTTCACCATCCTACGTGCGGCGGGCGCGGGGCCGGAGGCAGCCTCCTTTGCACGCGCGATCACCTCGTCGTCGCTCCGGCACTGCTGCCCACGCGGCCTCTGCAGGATCACGGCATGAAACACATCTAAAGATATAAGGGCCTCGCGTCGTCCGCCGCTTATATCCCGTGACCTGCGTAACTCGCGATACCGAGGAGTCTCGAGCTTCAGCTGGCGAACCATCATGCCGCTCTCGGAACCGCAGAAACGCGAGCGCCGCGCCGCGCAGCGCGCTGCCGAGGCTCAGGACGCGGCTCGCGGGCAGCGCAAACCTGACTGGGTGCTACAGGGACCCGCGGCCGCCTCCGCTGCGCCTGCTTCCTTGCGCGCCGCTGGACGTCGGCCGAAAAGACCGGTTCCCTCTGGGACCCGACTGGCGAAGATCGCGCGCGCGTCGTGAGTTCGATCCTCTACCGTGTTTGTTATGACCCCCCCCCCATAACATACCAGTGAGGGAGGGCGAGACGATCGAGGGGTCCCGTACCACGCGGAATCGGCCCTATCCAGTGCTCAAGTGCTCAAGGCACAACTCAGAATGATGGGCTTGCCCATCCCGGAGTGGTTCGATCCCACGCAAATCCGAGACGGTGACGGGAGGCGTCGAGTGATCTCAGGCCCAGTGAGGTAGTGCATCTGACTACCCCGGATCCTGCTGAACAAGCTCCTCTTGTAGCTCGATCGGTCACACCGCCATCGCCGCCGACGTCTCCCAGGGAGATGATGGAGAGGGGGGACGACACTGCTCGATCTACCCTCTGTGGGGTCCCTCAGCAGCGTGCACCTCGATCCTGTACCGTGTTTGTTAGGACCCCTCCCAAGGAACACACCAGTGAGGGAGGGCGAGACGATCGAGGGGTCCCGTACCATGCGGAACTGACCCTATCCAGTGCCCAAGTGCTCAATCAAGGAGGTGGTGTTGCACAGCATGGAGCTCGGCGAGCGTTTAGCGAGCCCCTCAGCTAGTGAATACATGTGTGCAGGCACTTCAGCGCAAAAAAAGAGACCACAACAAGAACACAACGCACTCTCTCACATGACTAGCGACCTAGCTCTAAAAAAAGAAACCTACGTACGGCGCGCAGCCGCTGTGGGCCGGGCAGGGTACTCAGGGTGTTCGGGTGTGGACAGAGGGAGGCCATGGGTCACAGCGAGTCGAAGCACGGCGGCCACCAAAAGGTGCCGGTGATCTCCATCGGCCACGACGTGGACGTGGACCAGACCGCAATTGCTCCGGCCGCCCCGGTCGCGGTGGCGGATGGCGGCAGCGCTGCTCCGGCCGCGAGAGTGGCGGCCGCGCCGGGAGGCGACGCGGCGTCGGCGTCGGCGTCGGCGGCGTACGAGGCCGGCGGCATCGCGTCGGCGGGCGACGCGGGGCTGCTGCGCGAGCTGCGCGAGTACCGGCTGACCAAGCAGTCGCTGGGAGAGGGCGCGTTTGCAAAGGTGCGGCTCGCCACGTCGGAGAGCACGGGACACCAGGTGGCGGTCAAGATCATCAAGCGGAAGAAGCTGGACGGGCGGGCGGAGCTGCTGCTGCAGCGCGAGGTCAAGCACCACGAGAAGCTGCGGCATGTCAACATCGTGCGGCTGCACACCTGGATCAAGGGGCCGACAAAGTACTATCTCGTGATGGAGTACTGCGGCCGCGGCGACCTGCTGCAGTTCGTCAACCGGTCGGGCTACCTCCCCGAGCCGCTCGCCCGCCGCCTCTTCCGCCATCTCATGGACGGCATTGCCTTTTGCCACCGCCTCGGCGCAGCCGCCTCACCGCCATCCGATCGGCGGCGCCTCCCTCCACGCGCGAGGGTGTGTAAATCTAGGCATCCACCACCGCGACCTCAAGCTGGAGAACCTGCTGCTCGCGGGCGCAGAAGACGCGCGCGCGCCCGCCCGAGGGCCGCGTTGGCGCGCCCTCGATCCGACTCGCCCTCCCCTCGCCTCTGCTGCCGCCGCCGCCCCCCTCAGGCTCCCGACGAGCAGCTCGTGCTCAAGATCGCAGACTTCGGTCTCTCCGACCTGCAGACCAAGCCTAACTCGCTCTCGGGCACGCTGTGCGGCTCCCCCCTCTACGCCGCCCCGGAGCTCATGACGGAAGGCGCGGCCCTCGACGGTTACGACGCGACAAAGACCGACATCTGGTCGTGCGGTGAGCCGCACAGACGCAGCCGAGACGCAGCTGGGAGGCGGTGTGTGCACGGCTGTGGTCGTGCGATGCACGCCCCTCGCCCCGCCGCTTCCCTTCCCCACGGCTCCTCCGCCCTCCGAGCCGTCTGCGTGGCCGTCGGGCTGCAGGAGTCATACTGTACTGCAGGAGTCATCCTGTACGCGCTGCTCGCCTCGGCTCTCCCTTTCGACGCGGGGGACGTGCACGCCCTCGTCCGGCTGATCCAGCTCGGAGAGCTTCCCCCCTCCCCCTCCTCCGCCCACCCCCTCCCTCCCTACACGGGGGACC